AAAAAAAAACACAAAAAACATACCCCGAGTTTACAACCGATGTATATCAAGTTAAGAGTCTGCCAGTAAACAGACGTACGCATGCAAAAGCTTGGTAAATGACTGTTGCAATGTCATTTGGCATGTTGGCGGATCGTAGTGCGAAGTCGAAAAATTATAAACTTTAGTTAGAGTATAACATCAACAGTGTGCAAATATTGAGAAGAGTGGTCCTACAGGTATACAAGGAATCCTGTAAAAAGATTAAATTATGAACGTCAACTAAGTTTTTAAAAAATGGTCATGATGGAGCTAAATAATTTGTTATTCATTTTGCATTGGCTAAATTTTATGAAAACACAGTTTCTTTAAGAAGCGGTGGAGACGTTGAAGTTAATAATGCTTAATAAACCGATGAAAGAAAGCCATAATTTATCATTTTTGATCATCACCATGAACAAAAACTGACTGTGGGAATAGTTCTTCTCAATCTAAATTCCTTAGCAAAAATAGCAAGAATTATTTCTATAGAAAATAACTTCATTCATCACAGCAGCGATAGAAAGGTGACCATACGACAGAGGCATGTTCCAGTATAGGTCTTTCCAAGCTCATGTACAGTCTTTTTGTAACTCATGTATGGGATGATTTAATAGAATAAAGATTGGTAAAGCCTAGTCCCTAGTCCCCTTTATTTAAAATATACTATTAAACGAATTGAAAAAAAAAATAATCAAGGAACGAGAGCACGTGCTCTCGTTTAAAGAGATTGAGAAGATTGATCTGTCTTCTAAAAAGGCATTCTGGCTACGAGAAACAATTTACTTGATAGCGCAATTAATTCGAGAAGTTATAACGTGCTTAAATAGTTTTCCGTACGAACTGTAAAGAATTTCAATCTTGTAATATCCCATCGTCGGAGATAGGAATAGATATACATTCATTTATTTGTTATAGATGAGGAAGGATTAATATTGGTGGCATTAAAGTCAAGTTCAAAAATTTAGTGAAAAGATTTGCAATTAAAAGACTGTCTTGCACGTTTCACAACAATCAAAAGACATCAAATGTACAAGTCTCGAGAACAGAATCACTCGAGATTACTTAAGAGAGTAGATTTCATCTAGGGCAAATTTTTGGAATACCATTCGCGGCTGAACCGATACCATTTCTTTCTGCCACTAGGATACCTAACATAAACAGAATCGCATAAGCAAAACTTGACTAGTAAAAGAAGCAAATTTTTTATAGATGATAATTTCTGAGCTTGTAGAAGCATAGAAAAATGTGCTATCAAAATCAAGATTGAAAGTCAAACAAATAGTAATAAGTGTAATATTCAAAGAAGTTGATAAGTTGCTAAAAGGATTAGAAGGCAAAGGATACAACTTTAAGAAAACGCCCACCAATTTTATTCAGTATATCTTATTTAAACATTTCGCAAGGACCAGGGAAGAGCTTAGGCCTTTGAGTTCTAGACTCCAATCAAGCTGCAGTAAAAGCTAGCGTTGAAAATTTGCAGCTTGTGTAATTAAGTTCTGTCGATACAAATTCTTTGAGAAGCGCTGTTTGTGGTAAAAACGATTTTTTAACTTATAGTACATAGGGTTTGCACGATGAGATACTCCTAGACAAAAATGAAGTTAACTTAAACACCATAATCGTTTTCAGATTGAAGGCTTTTTACTTACATATGAATTATTTAGCGTTCCAAGCTGACCTGTCAAATGAATATCTAGACACAGATAGAAGTTTTCGATGACGTATTATAACGATCATTTTCACTTTGATTGGGAAGATTTTTCAACGCCAACTATGAACGCTTATGTTGAGAGTGTTAATTCATAATAAGAATCCGTACAAGGACAGGTGCAACGTAAGTTGAAGGGATGAAGAAGTAGGAAAAAATTAGATCCGCATTTGCAGAAGTGAGGTCCATCAAATTTATTGAAGGACTAGAGAAAGTAGAAGACCGGGTGGAGGTGTAGTAGAAAAAATTGGTTAATCAAAAGGGTGAGACCATAGGTGACATCTCCAGTGAACTTGATTTAGGACTTTTTACTGCGAAGAGAATCTCCTAGCTGCTTAAGAACCTCAAACAACGCTTGATATCTTTTCAAGCTATTATCAATTTCTTACCTAACTCGAACAACATTTTTGGGTTTTGGGCAAAAACCCGGTAAATGTCAATGTCACACTTTTTACGATCAGCACAAGGTACACGCAAAAATTTAACAAAATCGTAAGCAGCACGTATTACTCTCTTCTACGAAAAGTGTTACCATCACTATCAACCTATCAATTGCCAACCTTTTCTGTCTATGTTTACACTATATATCACTTGTGGTACAAAGCATATAAAGTTTGCGTGGATATATGTGTAACTCAAAGAAGGATCTACGATAGACCCATTTTTTCATTATACCGATAAATGCAGAATTTTTTCTAAATCGATTTACCCTTTTCCATCCACTTGTCTCTGACTGCCTTCAACCTACAGGCCACAATTTTCGAGATGAAGAACATCTTGATAAAAAACATCTTTGATAAAAAAAAAAAATTAATATGTAACATTTGGACAATACAACCTTACGTATTAATCCGCTTCCTTTATAAAAAGTATGGTGAAATTTTGAAAAACTATATCATGTTAAGTACGGTAACTTTGAAAATATATATCGGCGATTTTCAAAATCACATAAAAAAATTTTCCAGGCTAAACTCAATATATCCTGCACATCGTTGGAAAGGATTCACGCCGTACTAGTTTCGTTTTTTTACAGGACATGGTTTGCCCGCAGTAGCTAAGCAAACTTTCACTTTATCAAACTCATTTATGACATAATGTAAAAATGTTGTCCTTTGAAATATTAATTAATTTACATAAAGTTATGTTTTGTTTAAAAAAAAATTCTCGAAAAGTTTTATATTTCTGTATTTTGATTCAAATGCTTTCGAGAATGCTCTTAAGGGCTTAACACAAAATCTTTGAAAGACAAAATGGGTTGTGTCTTTGCTACTTATATTTAAATATAACTTTACACCTTTACACCTGACGTCACTACGGATTGATCAGAGATTGTGGCGTTAAACAGAACCTTGAAGGATCTATTATGGAGATAAGAGCTTATACATTTCAATAAGAATGAAGGGAAGCCAAGGGCGCAGTTTAAAGATCAACAATTCATCGCTAACCAAGAACTACTAGAGAAAGCCTTGCAAACATGCAAATAAATTCGAAGGGTATGGCCGAAGGCAAAGAATCAGGATTAACAACCAAATGGGCACTTTTAATGTTGATGGTCGTGGGTTCGAATCTCAAGTGCGCTAGAGTTTTTAATAAAGCCGATAGCCTTAGATGTCAGTGCTTTAGGACTTTAGCCTTAGAATTTATTTCTCTGACTAAATTAATAACAATTTAATTTCAGGAGGTTCGTAACGTTTAATCTTCCTTGCTAAAATGGAGAAATATAGCGATAGCGAAAGCTATTTACTGGGTAACAATTTCTTCACACAGTTTAGGTAAGACACCCAATTTGGCAATGCCTTTGTAGTTTTCGACCAGATGTCTGGTCTGCTTCCACTTTGTGTCTGTATATGAAAGAAATGTGAATATGAACGTAATACGGATGAAAGTGTAGAATTGAAGTCGAATTGAATTGGAATTGAAGCATTTACTGTGTGTGTGTGTGTGTGTGTGTGTGTGTGTGTGTGTCTCGCCCATTCTTCGAATTTAATATGACAATTGACGGAATTGTCAGAAATATTTTTAGTAAATAAAATGAAACATTAACATTTTTTTTTTTCTATACCAACATTGAAGTAATGACTTTAAGCGTTGGAACTGGAACTACTGCATCTAATTAATAAAGGTATATAAGAAATTGTTAAACGAACTCGCGAAAGGATTTAAATCAAAATATAGTTAAAATAGGTTTTTTCTAGATTTTTTCAACTAATTAATTTTAGTTAATGAAGTTAATTACTTAAAGTTCGGTATGACAAATTTTTATACTATGCCAAACACGAAACTAAAAAAAACGAAAGTGTACTTAGCTAATGTGTCTAAACCAAGTGTTAGGTAAAGTGAAATTGATATCCCGTGGCTTCCGTCCGTCCGTGTACAGTTTATATTTAGTTTTCTTGGGAAAAATGTATTAACAGTACTTGGTTTGGCCACAGTGATCTTTCAAACATTGCTGTTATAAGTAAATACGTTTGTGCTATATTAAGTAGAATAATTTTCAAGGTAGTTTAAGCTTCGATATACCTCTGCAATTTAACTTAAATATTAGATTTACTTTTTGGACACCCTATTACATTATCCTCACCAATAATTTTTCAATACTTTATAATCGATTATGATATTATAATATGCCATTCTGGCTGAAATTATTTTGTACGCATAATATAAATCGGTGCAAGCTAAATTTATTTATTTTTTTATCTTTATCACATCAACTAACACGTATCAAAAACCCAATAAAATAAACATGTGCTTAATATCTGAAGACTTCGAATTGATTTAACAATCAACGCTTTTAGTATCAAAATTTGACGTAGAAATCTAAAGTTTGGCACGTATCTTTTGTAGTTGATGGCCATAGTCCAAGTTTGAACATAGGTATAATGCGTCTATAATCACATCAAAAGAAAACTACAATTCGGGTGATATTAATGCAAGACAAGTATCAAATATTTATGAGGATGTTTTAACTTTAATGGGAAATATTGGAATGATACTCAATACGAATTTTGTTAAAGGCCACTTAAAAGTGCAGTGTGCACAGTAAGCCGTCAACATTCGCATTTAAGAAAATGACAGGCAAAGTAAAGCGTGTATGTACTTCCATTAATAAGTTTGATTTAATTTTAATAAGTAGATAAGTTTTTTATGTAATCAATAGAATTTTTAATCGAATTTAATTTTAACATTTTATATAATTGGTATTATGTGCGTGAAAGTTATAATGCCATTCTAAAAATTAATTCAATTAAAAATAATATTGTACTTTTTGCAGTTAATACATTTATAATCAAGCAGAAAATGAATGACATAGTTGACGGCAAATAATTGCATATCGTATTCTGTGAAATTGAATTAAATTAGCAAACGGGTTGCGAGTAAACAAAAACCTAAACGGCAATAAAGAAGAAACGCATTAAGCACTAGGAACAAATCAAACAAACATGATTTATTTATCCTTCAAATTTATAATTTTATTGTTAAGTTTTTGTTGTTTACACTGCTGCCGCGGCTATACAAATTACACGACTGCTGCCCGTTTTGAAGCTAGCAGCAGTATTATTGATACGCCAAGGAAATCTATAGCAAATAATACGGACGACACATACAATGTAGCAGCCAAGTCACTTAATGAATCAGGACTCAATATATCTGATAATCAGTTATCGCAAGCTGAACATAGTTCAGCTGATTTATCGATTAGAAAAAAAACAAAACCCAATTCCAATTTTTTCATTACTACTGAAAGACAAATAAATCAAATAACGGGAAGAGATATCGTTAATGAAGTACTGAGTAAAGTACCAACACACACGACGACTTCAATACCGGATTATATACACAGAGCAATGCTAGTGCAGAAGACCAACGACGCTCAAGATGAATTTTCAACTGTACATTATAAAGAGACCGTTAACTGGCCAAGTTCCCTTAGCCAGCGTACACTTAAACAGGCGGTTGAGTATAATAACGCAAAACCGTTAATAATAGATAACCATTATTCAACTGTTGCTGGGGAAATTGTTCCATTAGCAATAAACTATTATACTGCACAGCAACAACAAATGGAAAGCGATGTTAGTAATGATTCTAAACAGAAAAATAAAAACAACAATATGATCAGTAAACTTGACTCACCAGTGGCAATGGCTCAACAGCAACTTTGGCAGCAAGATCAGGCAGAAGAACAATCTCAATTGCAAATTAACTCAGGGGAATATTATGAATTTAAGGATGCTATTAAGCAATCTTCGCCTAAATACGGAATCAGCAGAAGCAACAGTTCAAATGGTATGACAATTGAACCACGAACTCAATTATCAATACCATCATTAATGCAAACGCAGCAACAACGGCAACAGCAGTCACGTGAAGAATTTGCCGATCTACGTGCATCAATGTTGACCGATGCTTGGTCCACATTGACCGTCCCCACAACAACAACCACAACTTTAACATCGCCTGACGCGAATATCTTTACCACCACCACCTTGTCAAACTTAGCCAAATACTCGGGGAAAATATTATATGACATGGCGGCCTCGGAACCTCCGTCGATCGCCATCACTACGGCTATCGTTACCAATCAACGTCTGCCAATTGCCGCTGACAAAAAAGGTAAACAAATACCAATGTCTACGGGTGCATCGACGCAAATAGCAGCAAAAACGACAACCAGCCGTAGTAGTAACAGACGTCGCCTACTACCACATGAACAATTACGCAATTACATTGAAGATGCTTACATACGTATGCCACTTGCTGTCATTGTGGATCCCTCATCGTCGTCACTAGAAAAATCGAAAGTGCTATGGAATGATGCATTAAGCATAAATATGAACATTCAAATTGTTTTGATTACGTTAAGCGGTTCAGGTGAGCGATCAAGTTAATGGTATCAGTTGTAGTTTCTTTCTCTGTATATAATAATTTCATTTCATCACGAAGAAGAACAAGTAAGAAAATTAAATTCGGTCTGGACCGAATATTTTGTACCCATCACCGTTTACTACAAAAGGAATAAAACAACAAAATTCTCATACTCTATAATATGCAGTGGTCGCAATTGATTTCTTGCATTTTCAAACTAAAAGTTTTTGTCGTAGAGCCATGTGGGTACGGTAGGCGTGTCCTTTGAAAAGTTTAGATCAATTTCAACATTTTTTGCAAACTTTTAGGTAATATCTTGATTTTCGCTAACGTGAGAATGTTTGCCACAAATACTAAAAAGTTACGCAAACAGACAGGTGGGCAGACGCACAGGCGAACAGTCGAACAAGTTTAGGTGCATTCAAGGGTTGTAACTGGCCAAACTTGTTTCTGCGTGTTATAAAGGTATTGAAAAAATTATTAAATTTTGATACATCATAATACTAGGTATGCGCCAATTTTTTCTATTTTTGTGCGCAGTTGCTACAGTATCGCCAATGGGGTATGCGTTCAAACTTTTGAACATTTATTTGCTATAGTTTGAGTAATGAATGAAAATCCAATTTTTCATTCCCTCTAAAGACAGAGGTATTCTTAGTTTATGTGATGCTGTGGGCGTGTCGAACGATTTAGCTCATTTTCAATACCAAAGTACGTGCCAGAAATTCCTATGTTTGCACCAAATTTGAAGTCGATAGCTTCATTTTTGCGGCCAGAAAAATGTTTACAACAGACATTGGTGGCACAGACGGGCAGACGAAAATGCTTAAATCGATTTAGAATTTGATGCTGGTCATCCTTCGGTGATGGGTATAAAAATGTTAACAAATTTATAAGAATCTTATTTACATTTTTGTACTCATCATCAAAGGATAGATAGGGAAAACAAATTTTGTAATTCCGATCCTATAGATTAAGTTCTGCCTGTTCAGAGGTCTATCAGTTATATAAAAACGGCAAAAATTTTCAATATACAATTTCATGAAATTCAGAATAAAAATAATGGCATACTGACGATAGATAACAAACTAGATAAATGTGAAACCTATAAAAAGCTTCAAACCAGTTTTGTAAATATCTTACACGCTTTATTAGTACATAGTTATCTGGCATCTTCCCTCATCGAGTTTGTAAACAAACTTGCAATTAGCTACAAATTAAATGACAAGCTATGTATGGATGTAACTTATGCTGTTTATTGAGTAATTAAAATATGCCTTTGAGCGAATGTATACACTTCATTTCTACTTTGGTGTCTTTTCTTCTAATAGGTGTTCCCGCTGCTTTCAATTTCAACAATACTCATCAGTTTTTAACAGGCTTAAACAGTATTAAAGAGCGTAAAGGTGGTGATGCTTTTGTTGGTATCTTACATGCCTCCGATTTAGTACCTTATGATAGTGCTGTTTTCATATCTACTGCTGTCCTGTCACCGCACACGGAGTTGGTACAAAATGCTGCAATAACGTTACTTAAAAAACGCATCCGGGTTTGTTTATAAAAAATACTAAATTTCCTTTTATATTTGTTCAAATTTGCTTTAGCTATATTTGATATGGTTTGGTGAGAGAGCATTAAGTGAAAATGAAACACAAGAATCTTTGGGCGGTATATTGGGTGAAGTTGCCTTACGATCAGGTGGAGAAATTCTACATATTATAAGCAATGAAAACTACGAGGAAATTGAGAGGAGTACGGTAAGAAGCATTCTATATTAATAGTTGGAAACCAATCTTTTCAAAATTTTTTCCGATTTTTGTTTAACGATTTGTCTTTTATTTTGAAACCCTTCCTTACTCTTTAAAGCTCCTTCATCCATCCAACATACAAAGGAAACAATTTGCCTCTCGTTTTTGATTCTGTAGTGTTGCCTAATAGCTTTCTCATTTTCCTACTGTTGTATTTTACGTTTATTCTCGTACCGTTCTTCTTGTACTCACCATCTAAGGATTAAGGTATCTTTCCATAAAGAGTGCAAAAAAAAACATTCTTGCACTTAGGTAGATATTGAAACTGAGCCAAATCCGTTAAATGATGCGCCTACAATATAAATTGAAAACACTTCCCCTATTTTAGTTTTCTTGCTCATTATTTATACACTACAGCAGGCAAGCGGAAAAAAACCACAAAAAAATCAATCATGCCCACCAAAAACAAGTGTTTTCTTAAAATCTTTTTAAGTTAAATTCCCCGTTTACTGTTGCTAATATGCTTACTTGTTTTCGTTCTTTTTTTATGTTTCGTTTACGTTTAAAGCTTCGTACAGTTTTTTTTCGCACTCTCATTCAGGTTCTTAAAACATTCTTGCATGTTTTCTCCTTCTCTCCCACACCCGGATTCGTTTTCTCTCTCTCGGTCATAAACAATTTAGCCTCTACTTTTGATGGTCGTTTAGCGTATTTTAAAATAACATCTTTCAGTAAGTTTTAGTTTCGGCTTCGTCCTGTTTAGATGGGGAATCCGTCGCGGTTAATTCATAATAATCTAACAATCTTACCTGTGAATAATTCTAATTGGCTTCGTTGTGATCTAAAAACTCGTTTCTTAAAAAAAAAAAAACTTTTTTACAATATTGGTTGGGCGTGGGCGGTTTTTTCAATTTTTAAAAAAGGTTATTGTAGGCTCACCCGTACAATATGTACAGTGGTACAGAAGTACATATGCTGTAGGATATGAGAAATGAGCATGAAAACGAAGGTGTTCTCAGTTTAAGTTTTACAGTGGGCAGGTCCTCTTACCGGTTTTTGGCACTTTTCAATACCAACCTATGTGCAACAATTTCCTATTCCATTTTTGCAACCAAGACAAGATGTATAGTCTTTGAAGTTTGCCTCTAGGCGTTGCAAACGTTTTTAAAAAATTAACATATCCTCATCCTTCGGTGGTACGTACAAAATTAAAAGTCAAAATCCTCCCACATTTATTAATTTCTACATATATAGATATATTATATATATACCTTAATAATAATTGCTTTCATTTCAGCTTACTATAGTGGCCGAAGCTTTACGGGGCCCGCAGGAGATTGAAGTGCCAGTAGATACGACACTTTCAGGTTTACATGTAAAAATCGATAAACTCATGAGGAAAGTAATGTTGGAAACACCGAGTGGCGGTTAGTTAAAATAATAGAAATAAAAACAAATAACGAGTTAATTAAAGCACATTAATATTAGATGCTTATTTCTGTTTCATTTAAAACAACGTTTTTTAAAACAATCATTTTATAATTTTCTTTTAAACTAACAAGTCCTCTTTACACACATCAAACAGTTCAGACAACTGATAGCAATAACAAAATTAAAAATAGAAGAAATCGCGTTTTTTAAAAGAAGGAATAACGGCTTTCAACAATACTCGAAACTAAGCTATAAGCTTGTCTGCGTATGTATTGTCTGCCCATTTTTTTTTTCGAGTTTTTGAATTCCGTCTCATACCAAAAAAAACCTTCAATGAAGGTGAAAGGTTTAATTTTTAACATTTTATGATAAAAATTAAATTTGACGTAAGAACTATCTGTATCATATTTGAACCATGTAAATCAGTTTTTTGGACCACATTCTAAACAAGGAATAGAAGACATAAGTAAGATAATGAAACGTAAGCCTTTATGTGCAACGAATAATTTTTGGTATTTTTTACGAAAATTAGTGGGGAATTGTATTAGGCGAATGGATGTAATGTATTTAGCGGTGGACCTTAGCCGACCCGACTATAACATTTTTATATGTTTTTCTTTTTAGTTTGCTTTTGCTGTGTTTTAGTTAACGCTAATATGTTATTATGCCAGTTCTTACCTATGTAACAGTTTGAAATTAATGTGTCGTCTGTTGTACTTGGTTTAAACAAATAAAAGAAGGAGAAACATAATAACTTGTAAATATAACTTTTACGATATGTAATATACTTTTGTAAGTTTAATTTTTATTATTACTTGTGTAGTACAAAACTAAAACCACAACATCAACAATTGCAAATTATTTTTTTGCATTTAGATTAATTATATTATAACACTAATTTAATTTCATTTTTTTGTGTAAAAGATTATTAATAAATTAATTACTCATAACAATTAGAAAAGCAATAGTCTTTATATTTGTTTGTTACTTATGTCTTGTCCTTTCTTGGGTGTTTGTATCTATGGCTATGTATGTATGCTTCTTTATAACGTCTGCGCGCAGCTTTTAATTATTACGCAATAGAATATCATGTTCTTAACGCAAGTGGTTCTGCATACCGACCTACCCAGAAATAATCGAAGTATATTAATCTTTGTCATTCTATTTGTAACAACCAAAGCAATACATCAAAGGCTCTAATGTCCACATTGTGTATTTTTAATCAACGAGATTCCTCTGAGTTTCTGTGTCTGTCTACTTTTCCGACTATTCTTTTCTGATTACTTTGGACCTATTCCCCGAAATAACCTTGAAAATGAACTGACTTTAACGCAAACATATTCACAATACCTAAACATTTAAAATAAACTCGAGAGAGGAAACGATAGAAAAATTTTTTGAAGATTGGTCTATGCATTAAAAACATATCTTTGAGATTATTGCTAAGATTTCTCTATTCATCAAATGCTGATCCAAAGAAAAAAAAACCGTAAGAAGAGATCAAAATCTCCACAAAGGCAAAAACCTAACATTACGCATAGGATTAGTGTTGGTAATAATGCAATATGTTAAGTATCATAGTTGCGTCTATGCTTGATTCGGTGCAGAAATATTGACTCCGTTTGCGAAATTGGTTCCCGATCATTCACAACAGAGCCAAAGTTTTATTAGGCTCTAAAAAGCATGATTGATTCCGATAAGCCCAATAACATATCTGACCAGAAATTATGAAAGCTAATTGAAAAAGTAGGTATCGAAGGCTTGTTTCAAACGATTATAGGTTTCTTACTTGTTGTTCTATTTGATAATTTATGATAACCTTCATAACAACCAGAGGTATTAATACGTTACGTAAGGAAGATACAAGCATTATTGAGTTTAAATCCTTTATGTACCTAATGACCTCCGATTAAATGCTAAAGTAAAGGCACGCGTAAAATAACTTTGACAATGCAATGAATACTATACGCATTGCTATATAAATTAATCTATTGGAAAAATGTAGTATTGTGACAAAAAATGGGCACACTTTTAGTAGTTTATGTCTTTAATTTACGAAGAGACTCAATATTTTTAACACAAATCTTACCGTATATAATCCAGATTGGAAGCGACATTTCCAAAACACGTTCCTAAAAGTCGTGCTAAAATTCTATATAATCAGCTTCCATTACTTAAGAATATAGATTTACTAAATTTATTGGTATAACACAAAGAACCAGATGTAAAAAAACGCTACAAATGATTCTGACTCATTATGCCTATTTCCACTCATCACTGAAATTATTCTAATAGAGATCTTGTTTTATTTCAAATATTTGGGGTAACTGAAGCCAGTTGCTTGTTATATCCCACCACCCAAGGCATATGAACACAAAACTTTTTGTAGAAGAGAGGCAAGTTTGATATCAATTTATTTGGTATCATTTCTGTAAGGCTACCGTCAAAAATAAACCAAGTCATTCCCTCCGCAATCGGCACTAAACTGGATCATATTGCGCAGTTTAATTTAATACTTTAATTTGAACCTTACAATTTTCCTTCAAAAAATTTCGATTTCTAGTTTAAAGTTCAGCTAAGTGGAACCGTAGATTTACTTTAGTTACTAGGAAGCTTCGCACATACAACACAGTCGAACGAGTCCGAGTCCGAGTACCACCACCTGTCTCTCATTAACGTAAACTTTCTTTCTGTCTCTCTTTTTAAAGTTTTTGTTATTTAAAGCATAGCATTTCATATAGATTTTTACAAGAAAATACGTGAGCACCGTAAGCATGAGTTACCACGCAAGCGTAAAATGCTATGGGACATAAGTGATTGCATTTCAATTTCATACGCTTGCGAATAATGTCATTGTACATAAGATAACGTTAGGCAGCCTAAACAACCATGAGTCTTTTAAAGATTTGTACTATTGATTAGCATCATATGCACAGCATATATGTCGATAAAAACATAGCCTGCGTGAAAAATGTTCAACCTAATGTCGACAAAAATTGTTTGTGCGTGCCTTGATAAATTGTCGCTAAAATTTCATCAATATTGGACGTGCAATTGCTGTAAATGTGAATGCTTTTGTAAAAATGCAAAGGTTGGGGATAGGGCCGTCCTTAAGTATTTGTGTTTCAAAGACAATCATTTACTACGTTGAAATTTTGAGTAGCTGAACTGAAACGTTACCGTACCAACTTGATTGTCGATGAATATCCGAGACGGCCAAAAATCGTAACCATTGCGGGAACTATGAGCAATGTTTACCATGTGCATAAATAGCTTACAAAAGGCACACAGCGAAGTCGAATTGGTAAACTTTTAACTGCTACTCTATTACGATCTTTTTACTTCAAAACCTTCAGTTTTGAGAAACACTGATAGAAACGATGATCTATGTTTCGGCAATAAGTATAAAAAAGGACAAATTTTATGGTAATTTTGCCTGATACAACTTTTTTTTTAATACATTATTTTTTTGTCACACGATTTTTGTATTACGCTTTCATACAACCATGGTATGTATTTGTGCCAAATGTTGAATTACCGTCTTTTAATATTATAAGTTATATCTTTTCCCTTCTCATGTTTGTTCGTAATTCTTGTTTGTGTACTTAGTTTAACTTTTAGAATTGTGATCCTTCCAACAAAACACAGCAAACGGATAAATAGGCACTCAGACAAGGATTAATTTAAAGAAAAATAACTTTGGTCAACCTTTGCGAGGCATGTTATAATCGCAAAAAAAAAATCTGGCATAATTCTTTCATTGCGTTGCGTATACTAACACATAAGAAACTGCACATATTCGACAGCATAACACGAATCTTCTAGTCCCTTTATGCAATTACAAAAATCGTTACGGTTGCTGTAACTTTCTTAGTCAGTTTTTTTAGAAACTGATTTACGTCGTTCTATATTAAACTTAAGAGATAGGTAAAAAACTAATGGAACTCATATGGCTTTCCAGTTTTAACTATACTATAATATCAATTTTATGCTGCGCTCTCTTGCCAACACATCTTAGCATTTAATTGCTAAATGTTGTGTTTATATGTGCATATATAGTAACACATTTATAAATAAAGTATATATATATATACATTATAAATATACAAATTATAAATATATGAATACATATATATTATAAATAAAGTATATATATATATACATTATAAATATACAAATTATAAATATATGAATACATATATATTATAAATATATGTATATTTATACATATTATAAATATATATATATTGTAAATATATGTGTAATATAAATTCCTACAATTTATAAATTATATGTCTCCGTCAGCTTTGGGAATATAAGCGAAGCTTTATTTTCACTCATTTTCAACCGTAATCAACCTTGTTTTCCATAAGCTTCAGAAACTTCAATGCATATTTTTATGCATTGGCATCATTTAACAAATTTAAAATATCCCTTGATGTGGATACCAAAGCAACTTTCTAATCCTTTCCATTGCGTAATAAGTTCGTGTGTTCGTATTATACTAACATATAAAATCTATACTGGATTTCAATTTAAAATAGCAAAAAAATTACCGGCAAGACTTAATGAACATCAAATTTAATAAAATTGCTTATACATACTGTCAAACTTTACTTGAAAAACAATTAAAACATCGTGTACATATAAAATTCGTATGAAATGCTCGCGCTTTTCTTGTGTGCAAGCAAATACGCCGAGAAAAAATTACCTGGTTAAAGATTAAACCACACGTTTATACGTGTGTACCCACATATATTGATAAACAGACAGCTCTTTTCTAATGCTATATATAATAAGACCGAATCACAATTTATGTGACGCTAAATATAATGACTTGATTACTTTAATTTTTAAAATATAGAAATGAAAACGATAATTTTAATGATTTCAACACGTTAACACACCTTCCCACAGTCTCTTATTTCCTTTTATTTACAACATGTAAGTTTATATTATTGCAGTAAAGAGTTTTTCTTGTTTTAATCTAATACGCGTTTGGCTTTTGTACTTTGCTGAACAAAATATATACATTAGGATTTTTGTTTTTGCATTACTTTTTTTGAATAGACACCATTCACAATAAATATAGTTGATACTACGTTTGTATTACAGAAAACACTTATGCACAATTCCTAAATGAATTAAATACAAATATAAAGAGTTGCCGTGTTCATATAGATACTTTGTAACATAAATTATTTGTGAATTTCAGATATTAATCTCAAAAGTTTGGTTAAATTTAAAACGTTTGCCACAGCTGGTAACGACGACAATGCACACTTGAACGCCTACGTACCGTTAATGAAATTACCGAAAGCTACAATATTCAAATTAAAAATTATACCCGAAGATATGGATATTGAATACAGCGTTTTCATTAGAGCCAAACGCGAAGCGGACGAGCTATTAGGCAAGTTTTTTAAGTGGTTTCAATTCGGCATCACTATTTAAAATGTAAAAAGCAAAACAATCAATGAAACGTTCCACATTGATAAGAAACAGTAAAGCTTAATGTAAGATAACATATTCACCTTTGAAACTGTTCCGCATACATTTCATATAAAAACATCATTTCAATAAAGATGATAATGTTTGATTAAGGCATAAAAGGTTCAAAAAACGTAAAGAGAGTGCGCCATATTCTACAAAATAATACTGTCAACAAAATATTTTCTATTTTTCCACTTTCTTTCTGCTTTTATTAACTTATTTCTGTACAGATGATGTTTTTAAAAGTTTAACTACGTACGTTTTTAAGGACCAAAGCATGCCGCCTAAAAATGTTAGAAGTGAACTTTTACAAGCAATTAACCCTTTAACAGGTGTCCAAAATGGTTTCAAAATTCCAGCAAATCCAGAGTACAATCCTAAAAATGAAGTCAAAAGTTTGTCTACGAAGAAAACCCAGGGATCAAAAAAAATTTTCAACAATTCTTCCCTCCTTCAACTACAAAATAGCCTCTTTCCACATTCTAGTACTAAAATTGTAATGGGCTCGAATTCCAAAATCCTCATAAGCCCAGGAGATCTAAGTCAATTGTATTTTGAAATTACAAATATGGGCTTAGAAGGTTTGCACTATTATATACAAGTGGTAGACGAAAAACGTTTTCTAATAAAATTGGCACCGCAAAGGTAATATATTTTCAGACTTCTCGTCTATGCTGTATATTTAAAATAAGATTATTTTCAGTCTATACGTAGCTAGCAAACAAACGATTAGTGTAATGTTAACAGTATCAGTACCAATAAAAACTGAAGTTGGGACCACAGATCATATAACGTTCTCTGCTTATTCGGCTAGCACTGTTACTTCGCTAGCTGTATTGTTAAAAGTAATATCCCATTTGGAACTTCAGGTATACAAAACTCGGCTTTTATCGTCCAAATTAATAACACCTTACAAACCATCTACAGGATACCGAATCACCTACAATAAGTTGGACAATTGCCAATCGTTGTGATTTTAAAGTTGATCATTTGCACTCTTGTTCAGAACATTTGTGGAGTTTAGATATTACTGCACAAGATAAACATACAGGTATACTACGTTTAGTGTCCATCCCTTCAGACAGTTTGTTTTATACAAATTCCTACACCGTCGGTTCCAGAGGTCCAATAAGAGCTACGTACATATCTACTTGTTGTACCCCGACAGTGCAATTAATAGCCTATGATGTAATTGGAAATCAACAGAGGTACCATGTGAGTGTTGAGCAATCAGTTTTTAATGGAGCTGTAATAGCTGCGATCACTTTGGGTATTATTGTGGTGGTTCTACTCTTCGCTTTACTAATAGCCGGCGTTATATGGTGTTGCCGCAGACGAAAAGGCACCATAGATTTGCCTAGTTATCGCAGTCGTTAGCTAGACGTAAAATAACGAATAGCAACAGGAGGAAAAAATACTTCACAACTTTAGTACTTTTTTTACTTAATATTGAATAAAGTACGCCTAAAAAAATTTTTTTTTCGTAGTTGCATTTTTTAAAACTTTAGAAAAAAAGCTCAATATATTAAATAGGTCTATATGCAGAAAAGATGCCAATAAATAATAATTTGCATACAGGCTTAACAAACACACATATACGAAAATAAATACATACACGATTCTTTTAACTTACCTCGGCCCACTAATGTAGGTGGCGGCGTTCGAACTGGTACTGGGTGTGATTGTACGATCGGCGGTGCCGCCGGCAGCAACAATGGTTTATTAGAAAAATCATCTAAGGTAATACCTGTAACAGAGGCACTTAACAAAGGATTTTTGATAGGTGCGTCGCCTGGGCGTTGAAATTTAGTAGGTTCGCTCATGAGTTTTTTTTTGACACAAGCTATAAACTTTCAAACAAATGCTATGTAAGTGCAACTCGATTGGTGGTTAGATTTTTATATTGCTTATTTAATTAAGCGTACAAAATTATATGAAATAAAGTCAACAATAATTAGATTTTTACACATCAGCAAAGAGACATAAAAATAATTCACAATTGTGTTGTTCGGTCGTTTGGTAAAATCATATGGTCGAAAGATCTGAAGGGTTGCCATTATCCTGATGTGGAAACTAATTTTATATTGTTCTTGCGATTGGCTAAACCACAGCGTTATTTTTCGGGTAAATAAGTTCAAGAGAATAGAATGAGAATTCGCGTTACTATATTATTATATAAGAAAAATCAAAAAAATGTATGCAATTATAAAAAATGACAGATTGTTTGAATAGCAAAACTAAAGAAATCGACATAAATGTAGACAACAAATATGTGAATAGCAACAATAAAATAATGAATGTAAAAACAAATTAAATTATTAATTAATTAATGAGATTCAGGATGAAGAAAAATGATTTTAAAAAACAAAGCATGTAGGTGGACTTGCTTAAATCGTTTTGATTGCTTATTTTGAGTTCTTTATAAAATAATGTAGGTTATAAACAACAAATTTTAAACCATACAACAAAGAAAAAAGCACTTTATATAAATACAACATAAATTAGATAAATAATATCTAAATTTAAAATAAATTATCTTTTTTTCTTGTTCTAAATAATTATTATTATTAATTTCGCCAGAGAAATAAATTCTAAGACTAAACTCGTAAAAGCACTAGCATCTAAGGCTATCGGCTGTTATTCAAAACTCTACCGCACTTGAGATTTGAACCCACGACCATTGACTTGCTAGTCGAGATTCCTTGCCTTCGGCTGGTCAGGCGGATTGAATCTAAATAATTAATTACTTAATAATTAATGAAATTCCGGACAAAGTCTTTAAATTAAAATATTCCAAAGAGGAATATCGGATTCTTTTCGTAAACTAATTTAGGCATTAGTTATTGACGACTCTTTTGTTTCGTCTAAAATTGACATATTTCTCGCATATATTCACATGCTTTTCTACCTATACGCGTACATTTTTCTTTTTGTTTTATCATCTCAAAAAATGTGTCAAAAAAATACATTTTTTAGGCCACTACAATAACGAAGCGAGCACAATAATTGCACCCTGTGTTGTCTATGGCGCACGAATTGTTAACATTAAATTAGTTTTGTGTTTTTATATATAGTGAAAACACATAGCAAGCGTTTGGTAAACTTCTAAATTTTCCGCATGCGTTTTTGGTACGCAAAATAAGATTATATTTATAAAATCAAAATAAAATATTATTAATATATCAAACACAATATTATTTTAAAGTCCTGATTTACGTTTTTATTAAAAGAACAAAAAAGAAAAGGTTAGGAAGAAATATATTGGTACTTATTTCTGTACGGAAATTTAATTTGTTAGTTGTATTTCACTCCAAAAATATTATACCATAAATTACCATAACACAATCACTGTCATTAGCATATGCGTTTTACGCAAAGCAGATGACAACATATCTTGTGTGCGTTGCAAAAAGAAGGTCATATGGTTAAGGCTACTTTAACGAAACGTTAATGAAGAGTGTAAAATTAACAAAGGTAAAAACATCTTCAAAAGCGATATATTAAAGTAAAAGAAGAAAGAACAGAGAAAAAAGTGATTTGAGGCAGAAGCCAATTTTAATTATCCCTGGTAAGTTCATACTATAATTAATAATACAATATTCAAAAACAATTAGCATTTTAATTATCGTGGTTACGATGGCTCAGACACATAAGTATCTCGTTAGAGAGTGAAGTTAAGCCCAACTACATAAAATCCAAGAAGGCAGAAACAGTGGTAAACGCCTCCGTCGTTTTACATAACTTTGTGCAAATACGTGACGGGGTTATTGTCCACCAGCATATGTTGATTCTCAACAAAACGGTGTAGTAAAAGATTGATTATGGAGGAAGAATACAAAACCGCTACACAAGCCTAGGCGAACCTTGGAAAATGACGCCAACAGGAGTACCTTTCGTCTCCGTGATATTTTGAATAACTATTGACCAAAATCCGATTTAATAAAACACCAAATTTAATTTTCGCAATTTAATTTAACTTGTCTTTACTTATTCTTACAACGAAATTTTTTTAGTAAATGCAAACAATTACTGCCATTCACTAATATTGATAGTTTAGTCAAAATATTATCCATGTGCATACGTTTTGTTTTCGTAACAATACATCACTGTTTTGACTATCAAAAGTCACGCAAAGTGAAATATTAAACATTTGCGTCCACGCACAACGCATCACAAATTATATATTAACCGACATTGAAATACGCACAATCAATCTTATTTTAAGGGTTTGCTTCATGATCAACGGAAAACACGAACATTGCATCAGCAGTTAACTAATTTTGCGTCATGCGTCACGCAAAACGCATAACACAGTTATTGTGTTCAGCTCGCAATTTTATCAATATTTTGCTAACATAATGTTTTATGCGCGTTAAGCGTTTACTAAGGTGAACATACGCATATTTTAAACTGTATTATTGCAGCACAATCGCATCGTTTGAAAAACTGAGCGTATGTTAGATATTATTTACACAAACATCAATAAAGCATTAATTTTTTTAATTATTTACAAATAAAATTCAATAAAATAATAGCTAACAGCCAAATTAAATAGACTCTTGAAAGCAAATTTGGCACTCATTATGTATTTTTAGTTATCTAGCTGTCATTTGGAAGGTGTACTTTGAGAATCATTTGGGTTAGAGATATACACGGCTCTCGTAATTCCAAATTTATTTTAAAAAAATTAGTGGGAAAATAAGGGACAAATTTGACATTTGTTTGTTTACAGTGGGACGATCAATAACAAAATCATGGAAACGTAAGTAGAAACAAAATTATGTAGTATATTTGATAAAATGAAATGAAGAATTTTTGGATAAACTTTGAATTATGAACTTGAACTTTGAATTTTTATAAATATATTTGCTTAAATATATAATATATTTATATGTTAACATATAAATTTACCTATAAGGGATGTGTAATGTTTTGAAATGAATTACAAATCAATTCTAATTTTGTATTATGTACGTAAGCACCTACTCTTTAATTTTCACAACACATCTTAAAGCGGATTTATTCTTTATATCTTTTATGTCAATGCGATTAAATTTAAAAGGGCAGAAGATACACTGATTCTTATTTCCGCACTTATTTGCCTCAATTGGCAGTTCGCTAGTGAAACGTCAACATCATCGTCGTTAAGTTTGCCTTCATCCAGGATATCAAAAATTTACCGCCATAATTTTCACGCGGTGGCATACCTTACAAATAAAATATTTATATATGTAGACGCAAAGCCATACATGTTATAATTCACCATCAGCATTCTATTCAGGCTATGCTTGCATTTTCGGATTATGAAGCGATCTTCATTTTGTTTAGGCTACTGAAAATAAATTGTAACGGCCGCGAACAAACCTCGGGTAGGGTGTCTGTCGGTCTGTATCAACCGCAAGTGGCGGAATAACGGCATGCCGTTAGACAAAATCATGCGATTTTGTGATACCGCTAATAAATCGCATGATCTTGCGGTATATGTGTTTATTTTTTTTCTTTTCTGATCTCCTTACTTACAAGTACAGGCAGAATCGTATGATTTTGCGGTACCTTTGCTTGCTTTTGCAAGTACAGGCAAAATCGTATGATTTTGCGGTACCTTTGCTTGCTTTTGCA